TGCTGCAAAGAACACCTGCAGTTTACCATAAGCCTAGGAAATGCTACAATTCTGAAGTTGTATGTGTAAAGTCTTGCTCAAAGCATGGAAGATTAAACAATTTAAAGCATTTCTTTTGAGAGACTCTGGGAGAGTGGAATTGTGGTTGGGAGTTCTTATTTGGGTTCTCTGAAGAACATTAATGCTTTTCCTGAGTGTGCTGGAAGAGTTCAGGGAACTGTATTAGTTGAGGAGGGGTAGAGCTATGAGGTGCTGTGGTGCTGTCTACCACCAGCAGTAGCCTAGTTCTTCATATTCGTGGAGGTCAATGCCTGTATGAGAACTAGGTGAAACTGAACTTGTGCAAGAAGGAATGACTGTCACATGAAGAGGGAAAGTGTTTTTAAGTTCTGCAGTAGTCATCAGATTGCCTTCAGCAGACCATCTGTTTTTGTAATGCCTAATACATCCTTAGGTGTTCCTGTTCGTGGACAATAGGACTATATAGTTTTACCAGATGTAATGCTCATTATTGTCACTTGTGTTCGGTTTGTTTGGGGTTTTTTTCTGCCAAGTCTGTTTTTGCAGACTATGTTGAGGTCCCAGTGGTTCACAGTGGGAGAATACTTGGTCTGGTTCTAGCACGGGCTTGGCCATCTCAGAGGTACCAGCAGATTCAAGCACATCATTCCAATTCCCTTCTGTGCTCTGACTCCTCAGAAGGACAGACTGATGGGTCACGTTCCTACTGCCCATTCTGTCATCAAAGGTTTATTGTAGCATTATGACAAGTAAATCCGAAGGCACCATCTCTTTCATAATGACTCCCTCTTCAAACTGTGCTGCATTCTTCAGGAATGTGAGTTAGCAGACTTTTTCTCATAGAAGAGGTTCTTGGCCACAGCACCAGCTTTCAAAGATTTCGAATGCTGTACTTGGAGAATAAAAACAAAATTTTAATGATTGAGGGAAGTGAATAGACAATAGTCTATCTGTATTTACCTTTGTCCATTTCTTGTGATGAAAATGAGACCCTTTTAAGGAATGAAAGCTGAAGCTGTTAAACTACCTTACCTAAAGGAAAAATTGGAGATGCAGAAAATATTTGGACAGTGTTTACTCTTTAGAATTTATTGTCATTTTACTAGTTTAGAAACTTTATCACCAAAACTGGTTTAGCAGGAGTTCCTGTGTGCTTGATTCTTGGAAGGAAAACGTGGTCTTCAATGGGTTTCTTGTAGGAGAATGTTCAAACTGGTTATCTGGGGACTCTGTTTGTTTCCTTGGTTATTTATTTATATAGGCTTTGTTCTTGCTGAAGAGGTTACTTTTGCTGGCAAAACTGAAAATGTATTCTATGCCAAATACACATTTTGCTATGATTTTTTTTTTTTTTTCAGATACAAGTTCTAAACTGGTACAAGCAACTACCCAGTCTCCATAGTCTCAGAATGCATAGCAATTCTGTTTCCAATTTTTTGTTGCCTTTTCCCAGTTTTGCATATGATTTACTTCCATTCTTTAATTTTTAATAGAGTAAAGGAAATCCTGAACCTAAACCTTAGTTATTTCTTGGGTGACTTTGAATTGAAATTTGTGGTGGTTTTTGACTTTGAATGAAATTTGTAGTGGTTTCTGCTTACTAATCAGTGATTTACATATTCTGTGTTCCACTGGCAAATAATTTTCAGATTAGCAGAACAAAATACTGTGTACAGTCATTCTAGTTTATGCAGCAGCTTTGTAATTTAACTTTTTGATTTGGGTAATGGTTGCCTTCCTTTGATATTGGAGCACATTGTTATTGATTTTGATCCTGTAATGACATAAAGTATTAAAATAATCCAAATATATTACCAGAAAGTGTGATTCTAACTACTAAGAGGAAATTAGTTTTTAAACTTGCCATTTCTGCATAATAAATTGCTAGGGTAGTATGATGTATTGGCATTTCTTCTTATTCTTTTTAAAGTGCTGACCTACAATCTAAAAGTTACATGTTTTTCTCACAGTGGGGCCATGTAAGAATGTATGTCATAGATTCTATTTGATTATTCACCTGTGGTTAAGTCTCAGTTCAGCTCTGATTAAATATCAGCAACATTGCAAGCCACAGCTGAGGAAGAAAAATCTTAGGATGTTTTCTGAATAGCAAGTGTTACTAGTACAGCATCACAGTCCCTTTCTGAAATGTGATAATTGCTTTTTACTCTTCAGAATTATTACTAATAGATACTTCAGAATTTGTTGTGATTTTAAGTTGTGGCCTTCAGGCCAAAATGAGTGATGCTACTTTATCATTTAAGACCTAAGCTTTCCTGGTAGCCTAGTGTGATGAACAAACAAGAAGTAACTTAGATGGACATCAATTTAGTACCAATAACACAGCAATAACCATACTTTTTTTTCTTTTGAATGAGAGTAGAATGATTGCTTCATCTTAAGGTCTTGCTCTCATTCTTCACACTGTTTTTGTAATCAAATTTTGTAACAGCTGATGCTTTGCTATTGTCTGTGTATGTGTTGTGGGTTTTTTTACCTTTCCTGTCTAGATCCTGTATTTCAGATTTTTTTTTTTTTTTTCATTTTCAGCTTTCTGAATGTTTAAGTCAGCATTCTTCTGTTGTCTTGGAACCTTCTAATGGATTACAGAAGGGCAACCAACTGTTTTAATTTTTGCTGTGTGTTAAATGCATCTTTTCAAACACACCTTCATAAAAAATATAGCTGCTTTCACCAAGAGATGATCTGGCAAAATTTCCCTTCCAAAGTTTGAGAATGCTTTTATTGTTCCTGGGTTTACTTGTAGGCAATATTTTTATGATAGGACGGCCTCTGCTTATTTAATAGGCTCAGTTCATTGGTTTGATGCCAGTGGATCCTTACTTTTCTGGAGGAAGAAATATAGTACTCTAGCTTCTTTTTTGCAAAGTGGTGGACTTTCATGTAGACCTGCTGCACTGGTATGTGAGACGTTTTCTTAGGTTAACCAGCAGGTAAGCTCTAGCTTATGGTTTTGTTTTTAAGAATTTTGTAGAATCACAGAATGTTAGGGGTTGGAAGGGACCTCTGGAGACCATCGAGTCCAACCCCCCTGCCAGAGCAGGACCATCCGACCTAGGGCAGGTCACACAGGAACACATCTGGATAGGTCTTAAAAGTCTCCAAGGAAGGAGAATGCACAACCTCCCTGGGGAGCCTGTTCCAGTGCTCTGTAACCCTTACAGTAAAGAACTTCTTCATGTTGAGGTGGAACTTCCTGTGCTCCAGCTTGGGACCATTGCTCCTTGTCCTATCGCAGGGTACAAGTGAAAAGAGGTTGCAGCTAGAAGGGTAGCTCTTGAAAGTCGGGGGCTGATGTAATGCAGTTAGACTCAAGTTTGAGAGTGTAATTAGAAAGATGTCCTCCTTCATATTTGAAAGTGAATATTTGAAATGATATGTGTCTTAGATGTCACTTCTTTAAGATGCCAGATTGTGTAAGGGATTGTAATAGTAGGACAAATCTGCAGACTTGATATATATCTTCTTGGCTGTAGATTGGTAGACATTTCAAATGAACTTATAAACTACCAGTGTTTAAAATCCTTCCGTGTTGAAAAACTTATCCTTTTTAAATTTTAGTTTCTGACATTATTTCGGGCCATTTGAGTCCCAACCAGTTGTCACATTCTTTACTCACTTAATCTAAATAAAACAAATTGAAGATTTTGTTGCAGGTTGTATTTGAAAGAATGAATATAATTAAAACTTTTGATGATTTAATCTGTTTATGCTAGGTAAGCGTGGGTGAAACACAGCAGAAATTGGAAATGCTTTATGATAGTTTTCGGAAGATGCAGAGTACAAACAAAGCCTGGGAATGTGATAGATGATTTTTAGTTGCATTTCTAGAGAATGTGTCATGTGGGGAAACGCCAGTCACACTCAAAGTGATGCCTATGGAGGAACAGTCCTGTATCTGAAAAATTAGTGGAAAATTTCACTGACAATCCGTGATGTATAGACTTTAAAACCAGAACAAAATACACTGTTGTAGGGTAGGTCTGCCCAGCACGCAGGCCAAGGTGGTGCAATGTCCCTTGAAGACATTTGGCATGCTGAGAGTCCAGAAGCGGTGCCAGAGCTTTGGCTTGACTTGCAGCTGTGCAGCAAAGAGTTCTCTTTGACCTCGGGCAGTTCTGAAAATCAGCAGCTCCCTGGCAAGAAGAGTGTACCCAGTTTCTGGCCAGGTATTGGGCATCTGTTAGCTAACCAGGAGACATCCATAACTGCAGAGGAGCTGAGACTCAGCTGTGCTGGCTCTGGACTGAGGTTCTCGGGTAGGGAATGCACTCCAGATGTAATGGTATTGTTGCAAAGGGTGGTATATGGATATTTAAAGAAATGGCATTGTGAGAGGGTAGGTTGTAGAAGCTCTGTATCAAATGCTGAATTAGAATCTCATGCCTCTCTTTTCATTTTTTGGTAACATTCTCACTGATCATCTCATATGAAAGCAGAGCATTTCTAAGAACATCTTATGTCTCTTATTGCTTGGAAAACATTTTAGTCATTTAAATTAAGCATATCTACCATTTCAGACAAAATAATAACTTTGGTAATGTATAAGCTTTTAGATATTATGTATCTACACATACAGACAAACATGAACACAAAATAGACAAACATAAACATGAAAGAAAACTTGTATCTCCTTGATACTAAACATTGTCTATTAATTTAGTCTGTATTCTTGAAGTGAAGTAGGCAGAGAGCTGATGGGACATATATTACCTTTAAAATTTTCAGGGTAGTACAATGCACCTGGGCCAGGAGAGCTGGTTTTATTGAAGCTGCAGAGTATAGAGGGCTGCATGTGAGGCTCAGAACTTAACTCCTAAGATTGCTTTTTAAGTCAAAATTGGAAAAATTGAATTCAAGGTCATAGGAAGTGAGGCAGTGAAGGTTTATGAAGCCCCTCAGCACCTTTTTGCTGTCATTTTGATTAAACGAGAACAAATAAATCCCCTAATACTGATATATGAAAACAAATGTCTGTAGTTTGGCAGTCTTTTTCACAAACAGGTAATATATAGTGTTTAATGCCTTCTAACATTTGCTTTAACTCTATCACTGTCAGTATTCAAGTCTTCTATTGGCATAAGTTTTAAAATGAATGCTTTAAAATTGAAGTAGTATGTTCCACAGATACTCAAACTCTTTCCTTGTTTCCTGAATGTAGTCAGGTTAGGTGGGTATTATGACTTGATAGTTTCCAAATTTTTCATCCAGGTGCTCTGACAGGAGCTGTATTTCATGTTGCTCCTTCATTGAGCAATTGGAAAGTAAATAATTCCCTGTCCTATACAGGGAATGAAGGTGCGCTTGCCACGTGATGGATTTGGGCTCCGTCAGCTATAAATATGTGATTGGATGTGAACCTACTGCTTGGCTGGAAACCTAGTCATCTTGAAAATGTGCTTAAATCCAGTTGTGTTGTAGGGATACGTGTTTGTGGGGATATGGCTGGAGGTCATGCATGGCCAAATCTGTCATGGTTGTAACTCCAAGGAGAAGTAGTGACAAGGACAGGAAGCGACATGTTTCGGTCTGCCATGTGTGCCCATGTGGTTTCTTGAGTCAAGGAGTGTTGTAGGAACACTTGTTCAGGGGGCCCCCGTCTGTTAGGCTGGCTGCCCTTCCTCTGAAAGGTTTTCTTGTGATGCATACTGAACTTTGAATAGAAGTCTGTTGGTTGTGTGCCTTTCATTGTGGGGCTTGGAAGGAAGGAAATAAAGATATTGTAGTGGGTGAGCGTAGCAGTTGGGATTTCCTGTGTGGTAATGCAATCTGTGAAGTCTGAATGGGAAACAGCATGAAATTGCAAGTTTCTGCTCAGTCTTTGCACAGTGTGTGACCTTGCAAAGTACTGTCTGAAGTACATGTTCTGGATATAATAGGTAAGAGATTAAGAACAGGTAAGAGGCACTGAACTGGAGGGTGACTTGGATTTTACATAGCCTATTTGTAAGGATTTATAGAGTATGCTAGAAAAAAGCTTTACGTTTTCATGTACAGCTTTAATTATCCTTGACATTTATATATACCTTATGATGAATGCAGGTGCATTCTAACTTTTTTTTTTTTTTTTTGCTAAGTGCCTTTCTTTCTAAGTACTTTGCTGAGCACTTTACTTGGCATACAAAGAGCAGTGCTTATTTAACAAGCAGCTCTGCATGCATAGATTATTGTTATTGTTTTAAAACTTTTTGGTGATCAATTTATACCATACCTGTGTTTATTTTATCAGCTGCAGCCTGGACAGAATCGTAGAATGGCTTAGGTTGGGAGGGACCCAGGAGATCATCTAATCCAACCATCCTGCCATGGGCAGGGATGCCTCACAACCAGACTAGGTTGCTCAAGGCCTCATCAAGCTGGCCTTGAACACCTCCAGGGAGGGGTCATCTGCAACCTCTCTAGGCAGTCTGTTCCAGAGTCTCACCACCCTTGTACTGAAGAACTTCCTAAGACCCAGTATAAACCTGCTCTCCCTCAATTTAAAACCACTTCCCCTTGTCCTGTTGCTGGACACTTGTGACTGCTTAGGCCTGTTGGTCATCATTGTTTTGTCAATCCCTCACCCATTACATTAGTGAAAAGCCCTGAGAGATAGCAATACACTGGCATCTGCTTTTACAGGTGAGAGTTACAATGCAGGTTGATACAGGATGCCACAGAGCTTGTGGGAGAACATACACAAAGCTCAACTTTCACTGACTGGTGGAGGCAGGTGCTGAGAATGTAAGTCTAATAATATCATTTCAAGTTAAGTAACTTCTCTGGCTAGTGTCATGCAGAAAACTTGTAGGAGGTGAAGGAATAGTATCCCATTAAGCAACAAATTTTCAGTGGTCTTTCTTTCCAAGGATCACATCCTCCCCACTCAAGATTGCTCCATCTCAATGAGAAGGAAATCAAGTGAAGGGGGCAGTGGAGCTGCATGGGTGAACAAGGTGTCCCTGGCAAAACTCAAATGTAAAAAGGGAACTTAAAGGAGCTCTAAGTGAGTACAGGTGACTGGAAAGGAGTATGGAGAGACGGGATTAGCAAACCAAACCCAACCTGGGGATTAATCTGATGAAGGACTTCTAGAAGCACTTCTTGTTCTCCTTCAGGTGTAACAGCAGGAAGAAAATGACTGTGGAAAATATGGGCCCACTGCTGAATGGGGCAGGGAGCCTGTAGGCAAATGAGGCAGAAGAGCAGGCAGTACTTAGAGCCTTCTCCACTTTGGTCTCTACTGACAAGGTCAGCCTTCAGGAACCATAGGTTTCTGATACTAGTGGGAAAGTCTGAAGCAAGAAAGACTTGCCTCAGTGGAGGAGGACCAGGTTAGGGAGCAGCTGAACTAGGAGTACAGGAGTCCATTGGATCTAATCAAATGCATTCATGAGTGCAGAGGCAGCTGGCAGGTCTAACTGCTAGGCCATTCTTGGTTATCTTCTGAAAGGTGGTGGTGTGGGGAGGTTCTTGAGGACTGGAAGAATATAATTGATCTCACTGTAGGGTAGTTTATATTAGTTTTCTGTGTTTGCTTAGTTTTAATTGTGACTGAATTTTTTATGAGTATTGCTCAGAACAGGTGATTTGTGCAAACAAGTAGACAGTTTTGATTTAAGGTAGCTATACTAGACATGTAATTTTTGTATTTGATTTCATTGTTCAGATATCCTCTTGGTAGACTGTCTTTCTACTATTGAGATTAATAGTTACAATTTCATGAAGGTTTTGAAAGGAACATACTGATATATGTGTTCTTTTGCAAAATTCTAACTGGTACAGTACCATAGAGAATGTGCATGTGTGTAACAGTGGCTTAAAAGGAGCACAAAGGGGAAAGTGTGTTATGTGTCTCTTGAGCAGATATAATGCAGGAAAATAGATTAAGTAGTATGAAATGAATTGTATAAAAGTTATAGTAAATGTCCCTGTAAATTCAGCAATGACCAATGTTAAATTTTACATGCAAAACTTGAAACTGATCTGCTGAATGATCTTGGTAAAATAGAGAGTTCTTCAGCATTTGTAAAGCTTACTTGACAGGTAACTACATTTTTCATTACATGTTGCCCAGAGTTATTGGTATCCCTGGTATATTTTTACCTTATTTTTACCTTGTGTTAGTGTTCATATACTTCACTTGATGTCTTTTTTTTTTCCCCCAGTATTTACCTCAGTACTGGAAATAATTTCTAAAATTTTCCAAGTTTTAAACTCAAGCTCACTCAACTGGGAGAGATAGAGAAATTAGATTATTTGTTTATTTGGTTTGGTTTTGTATCCTGTCTTGGATTCCAATGTATCAACAGGCCATAGTTTGTATTGCCATGAAGTGGTACAAGCTGTTTTAGTCTTCTCATGAACTCAGCAGATTTTACAGTTATTATTCATTCTCATATTTACAAAGTATATTGACTATATACCTTCTACCCTCTTAGCCAATTAAAAATATTTAAAAGGCTGAAACTCTTGTTTTTAAATAAATATTTCTTGATATTGTGAGAAATGCACATGCATTGAGTTCACATTCATAGTAGATGTCTCTTTATCATTAAGTTCATTGAGTCTTGTATGTATAAATTTATTTACGTGGCAAATCATGCAATGTTTTTACAGGTTATGAGAAGACAGATGATGTTTCAGAAAAAACTTCTCTAGCTGATCAAGAGGAACTGAGAACTATATTCATCAACCAGCCCCAACTAACAAAATTTTGCAATAATCATGTCAGGTAGTAACTTGTGTTTTTGTTAATATATATTGAATTTCAGAATGTTGCATGTTGCGTAGCAAAAATGAAGGGAAGACACTGTTTATTGCAGTTCTGCCATTTCCTCTAACCACTAGTTACAGTCTCAGACACTGTGGAGAGGGGAATGAAGCAGACCAAGAAGAAGAAGGGAGCTGTTTCATTTACAGACCTGACCTGCTAAACATTTAAGAGTGGGATGGGAAAGGTCTGAATGGGGAAAGGGTTGCCTTTACTGCTCCACCACAGCATACCCTGGGAATATAGATTTATTCTTCAGCTTTCAGTTCAGTTGAAGTTCAGTTCATCTTTCTTTTTTGAATATGTTTGTGGTAGCTGGATGCCAGTGTTGATGTACTTCTCTTGAACATGGCATTGTGCTTTGGAAATTTTGTCTCTTTCGGTCAACCAGCCATAAGATGCTGTGGTTGCCCTTGAAATTAGTTTTGCATTTTGAGATATGCCTTTAGAAATCTGATTGTGATTTACAGGGGGGAGGGGAGAGGGATGTTATTGGGTTTTTACTGATTTTTTAAGTAGTACACTGAGTACTCATAAATAATGTATATTCAGATCTGAAAGCATCCTCATTTCTGTTGTTAAAGTTCAAAGTAAATGAATAGCAAAGATAGTCCAGTCCCTAGTAGGTATGTTTTTCTGAAGATACCTGTGATAATATACAGAATTTTTATACACTCTGAGAATAACATGATGAGTTTTTTTTCATTACTTGAGATACTTCATAATGGTTTTTTTTTGTGTACATAAGTTTTCTATCTTTCCCTTTGTTTCTTCACAGTGCTGAGCTTTTTGGAGGATATATTCATTCCACCTTTAAATTGATTGGTGTATGCAAAGTTAAATTAAGTATTGCTAACTTCAAAAGGCGTTAAAATAAATAAGTACTTTAGTTGGAATACTTAGAGTATTCTAACTGCAAGTCATTGGTATGATTATTTTAGCTGGTACTTTTTTAGGACATTAGATGGTAGCACTTTCCTCTTAAACAAGTGTGAGGCTGACAAAGAGTTGGGAGTTGAAACATTTTGTGATAACGGCTTAGCAGAGATAATTACACCAGATAAACTACTCTGTTCTTCCAGCCTAGCAAAACTACACTTACTATGCAATAATTGTCTTTTTTAGAAAAAAACAAAACAAAACAAACAAACAAACAAACAAAACCAATAAAATTTCTGTTCAGTGAAGGTATGGATTTTTTTTTATCTTTTAATAGAATTTTATAATTTTAATCTTTATTTAAATTCAGTTGATCCTTTTGCTGGATTATTTTCAATGAATTGTGCAAACTCATACCCAGTGCAGAATCTCCTCAGTCCTGATGTAGCACCCTCCTCCTCCTCACTGTGCTCATTACTCCTCTTTCCCCAAGAGTTTTGTCTGAGCTAGAGCCGTTGTGCCCAGTGCATGCCATGGCTTGTGAGGTAGGCTGCTGCTCTTGTCCCAAGAGCTGCAGGGCTTGGGCCTCCCTTACCTGCTCCCTCTGCAGTGGGGCAGTCACCTGACTACCACGTTCTCTTCTATTTTTTGCCTTTAACTCAGTGGCATCAGGGCTTGATGGCTTTCCACAGCAGAGGTGAAAAGAGAATCTCTTGCCTCAGAATGGAAGATCGTGACAGTTTCTGTGGCTTGCCTGCAAGACTAGATCCCAGAGGATCCTAGAGGTCCTTTCCAACTGTAGTGATTCTGTGAATGTCTCTGTAGAAGTCTTTCAGTTTAGCCAAAACAAATCTGTTTCCTAGTATAGAAATCACAAAAGGTTCCATTTTGTCTGAAAGCTTGTGTAACGGAGAGGGAGGCAATACAGTTGAAGATTTATTTTTTTTTGTAATATAATAGTAGCACATGTTTCTGTCTCTTTCAGCACTGCAAAGTACAACATAATCACATTCCTGCCAAGGTTCCTTTATTCCCAGTTCAGAAGAGCTGCTAATGCATTTTTTCTTTTTATCGCATTACTTCAGGTAAGATCAACAATAAAATTCTAATATTTGAAACTTGTTAAGAGAACATTTATACCATAGACAGTGTTTTGCAGAGATGCTGAAGTTGGTGTACCATTCTTTCTGAGCTTGTTAGCCTCACAGAATAGCTGAGTTTTATGAATGTACCTTTCATAAATGTTTGGTTTTGTGGGGGTTATTTTACTCATTAGAGGTCACCCAACACATGCTGATTTTTCTGTAAAACAGGTTAAGTACAGCTGAAGTACTGTCAAGTGGAAAAGACTGTTGTGACAGGAAGATACTGTTAAAAAATATCTGGCATAGACAGAAAATGTGGTTGGCATTTCTTATAATGGATGGTGCTGCCTACAAACCTGAACTTTATGAACTTCAATCCTGTCGTCTGTTTTGAGGGATAGGAACTGCATCTGAGAAGTGATGATTTATTCTTGGAGTGTAGCTGATAAGGATTAAAGCTGAGCGTAGATGAAATAAAACAGCAGAGGAGTCAAATCCTGTAGCAGCTGTTTCCCATATCCCAGGTGGTTAACTGTGCTGGTTAGGAAGAAAGCACATAGTCTTCTCTATACCACCACTGTAGCTTCATTCAGTATATTTGTAAAGGGCTATCCAGGTTACTGAAACTTTTTGGAGTATGTAGCATTTTGCAGACATCAGGATATTTTAATTTTGCAGTAATTCAGGCTGATAAAGCAGATCGTTGTGTTTTGTATCCTGTTTGTGAACGCAGTAGCTGATGATGAATGAAAATTGCTCGTTCTGTATTCTCGTTTGATTAATTATATGTGACAGAAACATGTTTTCTGCATAATTTCTAGTGCATGTTTTAAAATGTTTTGATTTGTCTGTTGTAGACATCATTGTGTTAGGAATTGACATACCAAACAAAAATTACTAATATAATGGCACATATACTACTACGTGTACTTTTTCCTCCCTCACTTCAGATGTTTCAGCAAGTGGAAATTGATTCCTCTGGATTTAATAAGGTTTCTTTGTTTCCACTACAAATGCTTGGAGCAGTTTCTTAGGATATATCTGCACAAGTAGCTGTTTTCTGGGAGTAAAAATACTGAAGTTCAGAGTTTTATTAGGTTGTCTGCCTGCCAACCTGTGGCTTCTAAATAAACAATCTTTTGACCTCATCTGACATCTCAGGCTAATCCAGTGGTCCAGCAGCAATTCTTGTGGTGCCACTGTGCCCATCAAGCCAGTGACACAGTGTCAGGTTTCAGAAGTCGTTTGAGGCTTGGTGTGACTGGGTGAGAGGCTGGCAGGTAGATGTTTGGGGTAGAGGAGCTGGAATGTGAAGACAATTCCACCATCTCCTGTTGGTCTATCCATGAGACCACAGTGGCAGGACTAAGAAATATGGCTTAATGGAACCAAGTTACAGGCTTTCATATTTTGCCTGGAAGATTATATGTAATTGGAATGGGGCAGTATGAGCATACATGTAGTGTATAATGAAAGGGCAGGATTTCTGGAGAAGTTCCCTTGTAGCCAAAAAGTTGGCAATTGCCCAAAAGTAACTTTCTGCCTGGGTTCCACATAATTGCTTGAAAAATGTGGTCTAGAGTAACCCACAAAATAGATCTATATTGGTCTTATTCCAAGAAACATAGCATATGTACATATAACATCTTGATTTCTTTCAGATGCACAATGTGGTGGTAGCAAACGGAAATGTATATAATTCAAAAATAACACTGGCTGTTTTTCAGAACATTTTATGATAAATTGAGGATGTCTCCTAAGCACATTGAGGCACCACTTATTAGTGTACTCTTTTCTTGCAAATATCTCATTGTAGTCATGGGCTGCATTGCCTGTTGTAAGTCTGTTAGGGCAACAGTCCTCTTATCTATCAGTGTTCCCATTAACAACTCTAATCAATGTAAAGATAATTATGGGTAATTATTCATGCATAACACATGTAGCTGCATCTTCTCAGCATTTACTTTATACACATTCACTTGCATCATGTGTGCTCATACCTGCTTAGCAGATTGGATTCTTGCAATAGCCTGGCAGAAAGCAGCTAATTGAAATTTGTCCATTAATTAATGGACAATTAATTTTATCACTAGTATGATAGAAAAAAATCTCTTAAGACAGTAAAACTGTAAGGAATTTAAAATACCTTGGACTTGTGTATGCTCTAACAAAAATCTGTACTGAAAAAATTAATATATTTTATAAATATGTATTTTAATTTCATTTGAAACACTGAAAAGGAAGGTGAATATTCTCCAGACACTAAAACTTCTGAAAGTAACTACACTGAATACTGTACTGTTTAAATAAAGTGTTATTTTATTGTATCTGTTTCTTTTGAATTGAGGACAATAACTCTAATTTGGAAATAATCTACACCATGTCTAAAAAGTTAATCCAGTTCTCTTGTTTATATTTGCACAGAAAGTACTCTTTCTTGTATTAAAGATATGTTTTAACCAGCAATGCAAACATTTTTTTCTCTTTTTCTTTTTCTTTAATAGCAAATACCAAATGTGTCACCAACAGGCCGTTATACAACATTGGTCCCTCTCTTGTTCATTTTAGCTGTAGCTGCAGTGAAAGAAATAATAGAGGATATTGTAAGTATTTAATAGCAATATTTTGTAAATAGCTTTGAAGTTTTTCATTTGTATTAGAATTATTCAGCACTTTTTTTATGCCAAACAATTCTTGCCTTCTGGATGTGTCAGAAAGCTTTTAAAGGTACTTTCTTCAGAATATTAAATCTTTAGGATGTGGTCTTACAATTTGAAAGTGTGTTTATGTACAAGTGACAATAACATGGTAAAACAGTGACTTGTGTGTTATTATACAGATTGTTTCTAGTTGAGCACTTGTCATTAATGAAGTGCAAGCATATTTTTCAAGTGTGAACTGGAACCAAAGACTCCACAAAACCCAGTCAAATCCAGAATACTGCTACTTTTCTCAGACAAGCATTCTGCTAAAAGAAGATTGTAAGCTACTGAACTAATCTCAGGTGGAATCTATTTCAAAACCAGGAACTAGTGTTCCTGGCTGGTTTTTTTTTAACATTGTGGGCTATTTTATTGAGATTTTTTTTTTTTTAAGAGTTGCAGGTAGTATAGTCTTTCTCTGCACACTTATCTTTAGGCTTTCTGGGAGCATCCCATTTACTGTGTTTGAGCAGAGCTGCAATCTGCAGATTGGGAGGAAGAGTGGTGAGCTGCAGAGCTCTGAAATGAGGTTGGCTGGGCAGATGCTGCTTTTCCTGTTGATGCAGGCAACTCAATCTTCCCCTCAGTTTACCTCGGTGAAGGGATGGTAGGCAAGTAGTATTGTCCCCCGGGTTGTGTGAGTCTGCTGGGCCACAGAGTTGAGGGGTCTTGCAAGAGACAATCATGTTTCCTTTAAATGTTTTTGTTCTATTTTGCATTTCTAGTATTTGCTGCCCAATAGTCAGCTTCTCCTTAAATGCCTTTTTTGCTTTCTCGTTACATAAACAAAATCAATTCATGTTCTTTCAGATATTTTTAACTATTCTGCTGTAAATGCTTACAGACTTACACCATCTGTCAGTGTCTAGGCAAATATAAAAGTCAGGGTACTGCTACTGTACAGAGTGTCCTTTTTAAAATTATCTCATCTTCTTGCTTTTATTTTATGTCATGTGTTTCTGCCATTTGTTTTTTGCAACTAAAGTATGCAGTTTGGGGGGAGGGTAGGGAAGATGGGGAACAGATTTAGGATTTTTGCGTATATCAGCTAGATATATGTTCTTATCATATAGATAAAGTTCTTATCACCAAATGCTGTACAGGTAACTAAAGGCAAAGAACACAAACAAGAGCAGTATTTTAAGTTTACACTGCCTCAGCATGGAGTTAATTCCGGCTGTATTTAGTTGAAACTGAGTGAGATGGAGGAGCTGATTGGGAGAACTTAGCTGCTAATTTAAAAGCTGTATATATGTGTAGAGATATGTGTTTACATACACAGCTGATGGTAAAGTCATGAATTTCTTATTTGCACACAGCTGAGTTCTGTGGACCGTAGTCCAAACAAAATAGTTTCCTTTGTTTTTGTAGTAAAACAGATATGAAATTTGATGTTGCCTGCTGGTTATATTGTGCAGGAATATTTGGTGGACTTTGACAGCTGGAAAAAAAAAAGGTTTTTTCCTGCGAAAGCTGACCACTTGAGGCATAGTAAAAATCATTCAGTGTGTTTTCCCTTAACCTTTTATTTCCATTATGTCTTAGTTTCTTCACAGTGAGATAGCCATCCCTGAAGATATCTGATATCTTCATCTAATATTAAATCAAGATTAATAAGCTTGTGGATGGGAACCTTATCTATAAATAAATATACTTATCACAATGATACTTTCAGCTCAAGAACCGAATGCTTCCTTTTCTGGAGTGAAATCCCAAGAAGCAAGAGATGTTAGCAGGAGGCGTTATTCATGAACAGCATGTGTTTTCCATATATGCTTCAGAAGTCCTAGCAGTTTTTGACATGCAATACTGGATTATCAGCTTTTTCCAATGATTTTGACCCAGCATAACTCAGAAGGCAACTGGCATTATTACCTTTCAAGCTGGAGGAGATTCTCCTTGTGGGCAAATAAATACATGCTTATGGTCACGTTGCCTTCCAGTTGATCAAAGGTTATTTATCAGTCAAATCAGCCATCTTTTTGAAGGGAGAAGCTGCTGTAATCTGTAAAAATCTAATTAAAAAAAAAAAAGAAAAACAAAACACAAAAACAAACCTTGGTCTTTGCAAAGTGGTAAAGTGACCTTTTAAGAGCAATTAGCTGCAAGTCATACCAGCATTTTATAAGAAATACATCTCTTATGTACCTTGACATTGTTTCTTTCAATTTATAAGATTGCTTCTGATTGTATTTGTATTTCAAAGGCATGAATTCTCTAGCTGTTTTCATAAAGCTTACCTAAACCAGTTAATTCTATGTAAATTAATTTTCCAACTCATGTTCCTGCTCAGGAAGAGCTAAATTCATTACTTTTAAATACTGTCTTTAAGCTCCTATTCTCCTAAGCATTTTGTAGCTGAGTGGGATCATACCTAGATTTGTCAGCTATATTAAAACGGAGACGTTGTGGACTGTTTGGGGATGGTGGTGTTGATTTTTATTTGTCAGTCTGTCTTGTTTTTTCTGTTGCTGATGTCTGGGGTAAAGTCATATGGTTACATAGTGGTTGCTTGACTTCAGATCAGTACAAGACTCTTTTTTTATGAAGAATGGCTTCATGATCTCTGCTCTGGCAGAAGCATTTCCAAGTTGCAGGAAAAGGCAAAGTTGTGGTAGAGAGATAGACTGCTTCCTTATATGAGGAACTTGTTTAAGTACTGATTGCCCACATGAGAGGACATTTTAGTACAAGAGAATTAGCCTGGAACTGGAGGTGACTTTCCCGATGATCAAACTATGCAAGTAATCCGTAGTCCTGTTTAAAAGGTTGGCTTTTTTTTTTTTTTTTTTTAAATGGGTTTATCGAATTGGTGAGTGGGAGGGAGTAATGAATGCTGTTATCTTCAATGTGAAAACTTTATCATGTCAACAGAAGTCATTAACCATTGTGCATTTTTAATTTAGAAAAGGCATAAAGCTGATAATGCGGTGAACAAGAAACAGACTCAAGGTAGGAAATTTTTTGCAGCCTATTAATTGCTGTTTGGTGTGGGGGTGGATTTTTTTCTTTTACAAATATTAGTAATGTAATCTGAACTGCTGACAGATGATCAGGTGAGAAATTGCTTAAGCAGGTTACTTCAAAATTTGGAATCAAAGCAGTTGAAATAACAATTTGCAATCACATTAGCCCCACAAAATCCAATATGTTCTAGACAAAGTTTTTAAGGTTCCCAAGTGTCTTTCCCTGTGTTTCTTTATGAGGTGATGCTGTAGCTGTTGAAAGATAATAATCACCACTATATTTAGTGGGCCTGGATTATGATGAAGTGTCTGTGCATTTCTGAGTACACAAATCATAATCTTATTCAACCAGCAAATCTTGATAAATTAGATTTTTGAAAACTCTAGAATTGGAAGGGAAGAGTCACAAAACAGAACTTTCAGTGCTGCTTCAAAGCTGTGGATAAAGGTGAATGGAGTATTTAGCTTTTGTTTGGTTTGGGTATTTTTTTGGTTGGGCTTTTTTAGTATGAAATCAATTTAATGGTTTCAGTTGCAGATAATAAGGTATTCAGACAGTGTAGCTAAACCAAAACTTTAGAATGTGATTTTATTTTTTTTAGAAGGTGTTAAGAAAAGAAAAAGTATTAAATTGAGGATTATTTTAGCTCAGGAAGTGAAGGTGTTGGTAGCTAATATGTACTAAACATGCCTGTCAAGTAGGAGGTTCAAGTTTAAGTTTCTGCTTTTGTTCTCTTTAACTTTTCATGTTACCTGTTCTGAGGTAAGACTCTTTATCAAGAGGTGATCCTATTTGTATAAAGAAGAGAGGAAATGAATGTCATATGAATATGATTGCAGAAATTATGAAAAATACCACGAAGAGGAGAACCTTGCATGGAATCTTACCTTAATTTTTTAGGGGGGGATGTAGTAATTTATTACATATAATCAGAATTGTTTAGCACAACTGACCACTGGAAATGTCTCTTTTAAACATAACTTTCAAAGCCTAACTATATTGTACATATATCTTAAAGTTTACTACAAAGTTTATACGGGATGGGAAGAGGGATAATTTGTGAAACTGTGGAGCATGTAGCTCAATTAGGAGGTACAGAGAGACTAGGGCAGGGAAATAAATGTACTGACTTGAAAGCACTTGGGAATAGAAATCTCCAGAGAACAGGCCTGGAGAAACAGATAAGCTCTTATCTATATGTAAAAAACAAAGGAAAGCTTAATGTAGGCATCCAAACTTTTTTCATCAAGCATTTCTAGCATTTGAGATAGCAACCAACAGTTTTAGGTGGCAATGAATCTTGAAATGCCGTTTCAGTTTGGGTTGGATTTTTTTGTTCAGAGCATACAAAGTTTTAAATTAATAAAGGACAATAAAGGACTTGTTTTACTGTCTTTCCTGCCTTTTCCTCTTGCTTAACCTCATTAGGCTCTGTGGAGGGATTCCAAAGAACCTCTAAATTCTAAAATTCTTGAGTGTTCCATGCATGCAAAAGAGTGTCTTGGAAAATGAAGGTGTAATGAGGTTATATAAAATACTGCTAGCCCTGAGAAACAGGTTTCTTAAGCTAATACAGGATTCACTTAAATACATTGATCCTAGTGTACTGTCCAAGCAATAGTTAAATGTACTGTCAATATAGTCTATGTCAAAGCACTAATAAAAAAGCTAATTGGTATGGTACTCTCTTGCTTTTTCATGTACTCAGCAGTTCTGTAGCCCTGAAAAGTAGTAATGTGCATAGTACATTATATATGCAGCTCCACCTTTGGTTGTCTTTTAAACATAAAAAATTGTTAATGAAATTACTTTTGCATGTGTAGATTCTGTATATGGGTTTCCCTTCATCTCTCTATTCCTTAAAGACCATCTGTATCTCAGTTAACCTTAAATAATTAACGTTCTAAATTTCCATTACTATAAAAAACCTTTTGCAGAGCAATTTGATTTATTAAGCTGCATTAGAGATGGTTTATATTACCTCAGGTTGCATATATATATATACAGCAGGGCACAGTCAGACACCCTAACATGATGAAATGTGCTTTTCTACAAAATGGTGAAGTATTTTTTTGTAGGACAAGATGGAGCATGCTTTTGAAAGTTAGTTGTTAGAGACAGCTGAAAAATGGGAGATACAAATGTGAAAGCCAGGCTGCAGAAGACTTCATGGCACAAAGTTCTCTGCCCATTATATAAAAGGTGCATAGCTACACCACCTCTATTTTTGTTCTCATAAGAAAATGGATTTAGTTAAATGTCAGTGTATGTTAACTGTGCTTAAAAGCATATTGGATCAAGCTAGGGTTAGAATATTCTTGAGATTTCAGGTGTGCCAGCATGTTTTCATGATTCTGACTCCTGTTTGTGAGCTGATTGAAACGGCTAAACTAGAAGCTGGCAGTTTCTTTCCATTTACTTTGTTAAACTGGCTGATCAAAAGGTCCAAGGAACACCAGAGCCAGCATAGGTTAAGCAGTGAGGGCACGCACCTTTGCACGGGTTGGGGGCAGAAGAGGACCTGCCCTGGGCAGCGGCAGTGCCTCGGGTCAGCTCGGCTGCACCTGGAACAGCCTGAGGGTGTGTTTCAGTGGTGCGCGGGCTTCTGCAGCCACCGCTTCTTAAGAAGCCCCTGGGCACCTCTGGCAGCTTATTTAGATTTCAGACGTGCCCAACTCCACTGTCATTCTACTATAGCTGTTTCTGAAATGTAGTCATCTGGTTTGGTCCAAGGTGTATTTTTAATGCTTATCGGTTCTCTAATCTGCTTGATACCATAGCCCTGCAAGCAGCACTGCTAACACAAGGGGATGGAAGTGGGTAGTTGGTGGCACTGATCTACAGAATGTCTTGGGTTCCTTAGGAAAGTACTATAGACAGTCTTCACTCTGGATCTGTAGTTTGCCCATGAAGGGAAATAATAATAAATGATCAACTGATTGGTGAGGCAGTCATTAAAATATCTTACTTGCTGTCTGAAAGGGGGACTGCTTCTTTTATTGTTGCCCTGAGCATATCAGCACTAATAAATGTGGGAAAGGAAGAGTAAGACAATTTATCTCGTCCTAAAGGTTTTTTAAGCAGGTTAGGTGACAACATCGAGACATACAAGAAGAGGGTCAGTCTCGATTGAACCACAGTGTCTTAAGTGTAAAAGCCATATGTATTGCCAGATTTTGGTCCACTTTTCTGAAATCCACACATGCTTGCATAAGGATTTGATCCTGTTCAGGTACTTGGATGAGAGTCCTGACAGTTTGAAAGCTGGAAGACACAGTGAAAGAGAACAATCTCTTGGAGTTATTTGAGTATTGATACGTGGCAATATTTTATTTTTTTTTATTTTTTTTTAAATTTCATTCTCTTTTAGCACATCAATCTTGAATATCTTTGTAACTGGTGCTAGTAAAAAAAAAATTGCCTTTATTATTGTCTAAAACACAGTCTTGGCAATTAACTAGCAAACAAGGCATGGGGTTTGTGTCATGGCAATACTTAAAACTAGAATAGTGGAGCATGCTTGCAATATTAATTACTACTGCCAGGGAAAATCTGTACTAAATCTTACACTAAGTGGCATGGTTTGATTTTTTTGAGATTTCCAATATATTTAGGGAGGAGATGACTGCAATGATTCTGAAGTTCTCTGACATGCCAATAACAGTAAGAACAGCTGAATCTTAAGAAGCCTGTTGGTGACTTTTAATTCATCTTTTCTGCATGTACCTCATCAATACTTGAACTAAGACAAAATTCTTGAATTGATCCCCCTCGCCACAAATTTAATAACTTTTGGACTTCTGAACTTTTTCTTCCAATTCCTCATTTATTTTAGAAAACACCAGATTATCATACAATTTACATCAGATATAATTGATTCTCAAACCCTGTAAAATGTTCTGATTGACTGGAGTAAGATTCTTTGATACAAGAACTGTTACACAGAATATGTGCTGCATAATTAAAATGCTTGATCTGAATGTACAGAAGCAAAGTATACTGTAAAATATTGTGTAAATAAGCTATGTATATACAGCTTTTCATAGGGAATCTGACACATTTGTATACTGCAGTTAGATTGTACAACTGGAAAAGTTTTTCTTCTTTTTTTTCAGTACTACGAAATGGTGCATGGGAGATTGTCCACTGGGAAAAGGTGTGTGTTTATGTTGGTGAATTTTAGAGCATCGTGCAGATTTAATATTTACTTTTTCCCCAAATAATTGTGATTGCTAAGAATTAACTGTTGTGATGGGAAATGTATAATCTTCTGTATTTTATTTTTTGTTTGTTAATACCTGTCTTTTAAAATGTACTTTTAACTCAAGTCAGTTTTGCTGGCATGAATCAGGCAAGACTGCCGTTAAATGATGGGCTTTAAGTTCAATGAAAAGTAACGGATAAAATGATTGACTCTGGAGTATTCACATATGGCAAATGTAGGCAGTTCCTTGGTATTATTTGGTGTGCCAAGGCAGAAACTTCTTTCTAGAAACAAGTTACTTTGTGTTTGCTGAACTTCTTTGGATTAAATCATAAGAACTTTAAAGACCTTTATGCAGTAATCAATAAGGGACTGTTAAGGCTAACTTTCAAAGACTAAATGCTATGCTGTCTGTCTAGTCCATTAGTCCCATACCTGAAAGCTGGAGTGAAATCTGACCCATAGTAATTTGGAGATAAGGTCTAGATGTGTTTGGTTTATACCTTTGGACAATAAAGGATGAGGTATATATAGCATGATGCAATAGAACTGTGATCTTTAGGGGAGATTAATTTCTTCATCTCAACTTCAGTCTTCCAATAAAATGTTTTGCAATAACTAGGAGAAGTAAAACACTCCATAAAGGAAGTCAGGACTAGGCCAATAAGAGTAAATTTCCAAAGAATTGCAGTGACCTTTGAGTACCTAACACCTACAGGTTTTTCCAAGTGTATGAGTTTCTAACAGTCTTTCTAGTAAATTCAGCAGGTAAATATTTACTGTGCTTAAATCAAAGGGATAACATATTTTGTTTGAGACCATTAACCAATTCCCAGTTTTCTTTCAGGTAGATGTTGGAGATATAGTTATAATAAAAGGCAAAGAGTATATACCTGCTGACACTGTACTGCTCTCATCAAGGTAGAGATGCCCACTGATGCTTATAGTGTAGAGGCTGGTTTCTCTACCCTGCATTTATTTATTTATTTAGTTGTGATTGCTCCAAGGAAATAAGGAATAAACAAAAATCCTGCTGTTCTGAAGTGTTATCTTTTGTTCATTCAGGAATTTATCATTTCAGGCAGTGCTCCTTTAAACTGTGACAATTACAGTTTTAAAATTGTATTGGCATTCAATTAACTCCTAAAAAAATCTTAGTGTATTATTTTGGGTATAATACAAAAAAAGGCTGATTCTCTGTCTAAAAATTAGACATCAGCTGCCATATTTAACCAGTCTGGCTTTTTGAGATGTACCTAACAAATTGTATCCTATAAATAAATTAAAATTGATGTATTACAGTTTTTTAGAGGATATAGTCTGCAGTTTGATGGTTGAATCAGGAAAAAAAAAAAAGTGAGATGTGAACCATCAACTTAGCACTGTCTTTAGGCTGAACATCCACTTTATTCCCTTTTATATATATATATATAATGAACAATTTCAGCACTGAAGTCAATACTTAATTTATAGCATGTAATGCTTGTCTCATTTTGGTGGACAATCACAGGTTGTTTATCATCATTTCCTTGGACAGTTTTATTTAAGAAATCCACATACTATGTGGAAGATGCACATTTTTCAACATCTATTTGATCAGGTCAAGACAACATATTCTAAGGTAGTTGTGGGTTTTTTTAAATTAATATTATTTAAATATGACCAGTTGTATTTTATTACTGTATGTTTACAGTGCAATTTCCGTCTTTTTTTTTGGCACAAGTGGAAGCATTATTGTAATGTGTATGATTACGGATTAGGTGTAAACCCTCTATGATCCCACTGAAGTTAATGAATGCATTCATGCATACAATTAATAAGATAAGAATCTTGCACAGACAGACTGTGGTGTAGACTAGTACAATTTTTTATTCCATCTTCCATTATATCTCAAAATTAAGTGTAGCTGTTTCGAAAACACTTAAGTTATAAATTGTAAAGAAGTTACCAGGTAATACTGTGAATTTTCTCCACAGTCTGTCTGCAGTTTGTCATAACTTCAGATGTTTTTTTATGGAGTGTCCTCTATAAATGTTTTACTTCTGCACTTTGAGAAGCATTTATAAATTTTATTGGTGCTTCTCCATCAAAGTCTTCATAGGTGATACACCATGCAGCAGGAACAGTTGTTCTGTTGGCCTGATAATGGCTTCTGCTGTGCTAACCCCAGTGTTTTGCAAGCAAAACAGATTACATCCTCTCCGAGCAGCTTTTTTATAATCTTCCTGAGTAATCTCCTAAATTTGAGTCTTTGCCTAGCTGTCTTCACTGTTTTGCCCTTTTGGATTTGAAGGACACTTGATTCTCCAGCTGTAGTTTACAGACAGAGAAATAAAAATTGTGTGTAAAGCCTTTTTCCCAAGCCTTGTCCACCCCGAAGGAAACGTACGTGATGTGTTGATAAATTGAAGTAATAGTTCACTGCTACTGGACTTCTCAGGACTGTTACCTCTTCATTTAACATCACTTTATGGCCCTTGCCAGAACACACTGTCCTAACTGTGACCATTACTCACCTTGAATTTTCCTGTCAGGTTTTCTTCTAGGATCCAGCTTGCAGAGGGGACTCTGATTGCTTTTCTGGGCCCTCTTCAGGCATTTCTTCCAGCTAAAGCTTCCTTCTTAGTTACATTACCAGAGTCCTTTTGCAGCCCTCCTTCCAGGAGAGAGCCCTGTGCTACTACATTAGCTCTAATTCTGCCTGCACGCCAGCACGTGTTGTCTTTCTCCACCTCTCATCTCCACATGGCCATGCGTTCTCCAGGAAGACAGTCTGATCAACTTTTCTTTACAGGTGCTTATTCACCCCCAGTTACATTTTAGGTTTCAATAGCAGTGCAAGCCTGTAGGCCTGGATTTAATTCAGATTAATAATACTTGGTTCTTTCTGCCAGCAATAGCAGTTTCTGGAGAATAAGAGGATCTTAATTATTTTAGGAAACTATAATCTCTTACAGTGGAAGGATACAAACCTCTGAGATTTAATTCCTTTTGATTCTTGATAGTTCAGTGTAAATTGAAGTTTGCAAAGCTGAAACGAAACAAAATCCTTTTCAGTGTGTCTTTTCACCTGACTGTTCAGAAAAGTTATTGGAAAATCTTTTGTTGTGGCTTTTATTTTTTTAATTAACGTATGGATTGGCTAGAAACTTTGTCAAATAAGGAATAAGCATAACAGCTTTTTATTTATACTGTACAATATCTGTGTTCTGCAGCCTAAAATCAGTGCCTTACAGTGAAACAGTCTACTTGAGTAAAAATGGAAATATTGCAGCTTTTTTCTTCCTGACCTGATTAAAATAGATTTTGAAAAAGTTGTCATCAGACGTTTTAATTAACATGTATTGTTTGTATAATAATTTCAACTCTGTCTTTTTGTCTTTGTCCATTTGTTTTTGGGTTTTTTTTGTTTGTTTGTTTGGTTGGTTTGGTTTTTTGTTTTTTTTTCCCCTGTTACCTATTTTTCTGTTCTAATAATTTTCAAACTGGGATATGTAGGTGGCAGTAGGGGAAGTAGTGAAAGTCACCAATGGGGAACATCTCCCAGCTGATCTCATCAGTCTGTCATCAAGGTTAGAATAAACTAGTTGCACAGGATACGTGTACGTGGGTCCTCGTATACCACATGTGAAGAACACTGCCATGCTGATAATGTTTGCTTTGCTGTTCACCTTTCTTTGCCAAAACTCAGACGTGTATAAAACTAGAAAGGGTTCGGTCGATAACTGAAGTGTAAATACATAATGACACTGCAAGAAATGAAAATTTGTTTCAGTCCTCTGATTTTACACTGTCCTTGTGAAATTGTCTCAGACAAGTTGTTAGTGAATAAACACACGGTAAAACACCAGTATAAATATGTTTATTGCTTTAGAGCAAATTAAGAAGAATATATGTGTTTATCCTAACTCACTCTTTTCAGCAAAGAATATAGTGTAGCGTTGGTAGGACTGGTAGAGGACCCTCTGCACAAAGTTGGATGTTGCACAATCTCTGCTGCATGCAGTGGCAGAAGCAGCACTGTTCTTGTGTACTGTGACAAAATGCATGTTCCTTAGACACATCAGCTTCACGCCATTGTCTGCGCTGCTGCCACACTTTGGTTTTCACTAACAAATCAATGGGCCCACCTTGATCTAACCAATTTATTTACTCTGGAGGTCACTGCCGTCTGCTATAGTAATTACAGCTAAGCATGTGTCTCACTTGAAACATCTTTGCTGCCTTAGTCTGCTTTAAGAGTGCTTCACAAAAATACTGTTTGTTTCTTTTTACTATTAACTAATAAAAATGCTAGAATTGTAATAATGTTTTATGCAGGTGATTCCATCCAAACAACCTAAACAGAAGTTACTTACAGTTTTAGAAAAGTTTGCCAAGCCGAAAATGCTGATCTGAAAGGAATTCATGATAAATAATTATCACATTTTAATGCTTTTGCTTTACAAAAATGTTAGAGTAACCTATACAACTTTATCAATTCAGCATTTTAAAACTAAGTGGCTTACCAGCAGCCACTGTTGCATTATGAAAGCAAATTTAAAAAAAAAACCATTTACTGCTTCAATTTCAATTTAGAAAGAAGGAAAATACTAGAAGCTCTGAAGTAGTGTAGAGAGTAAACATTTATTCTTTTAAGTTGTAAGGCATTTTTTATGACTCCTCTGGTCGTTTACAGGATCAAAACTTCTTTTCATTTTAGATATAAGTAATATATGTTCTTTCTGCATGTCCAGAAAATGGGAGATGAGTAAAATTCAGAAATCCTGACCTGTTAGACCTGTTCTTGTTTACTATCTACTTGCAGAAAAGTAACTTTGTCCTTCTGTATCTATTTTCCTAGTTAACACTTCTACTATGGTTGCGCTGTATTAAAACATGAAGGTATTTTATGAAATACTGTTATACATTAAAAAAGTATATTGAAAGAAGATAAATGCAGTAAGCCTTTTATCAGTATATGTCAATTAAATAGTCTAGTAATGTTCTACATAAACTTAAAACTTTTTATAAAAAAAAAAACTTCTAAAATGGCATAAAGAGGATAGATATATTTCAAAAACTGTATTATGTTATCCATGGTTTAGACTTTATTTTATAAAAGAACCTTTTACAAGAAAATTTCCATATCTAAACTACTGCTGTCTACAGTAGTAGGCACTACAAATGCACTACATTTGTGCCTGTATCTTAAACTCATGTAAGACCACAGAAAACTTACTATGTAAGTATTTTTAGCAAATTTTTATCTAAGGTAGGTAGGTTTTGGCAAACTTTTCTGAAAATGTAAAGTACTGTTGGTTTGACAGATTTGGCTGTAAATTATTTTAGTTCTGGAAGAATTGATTAAAAAAACCTGGTTGCATAAAGAGCTATTAAAAGGTTACAGAAACTTTATGGATTTTGACTTTATAATTTAAAATTAAGGATTTTTTTTTTCTTAACAGTGAACCACAAGCTATGTGCTACATTGAAACATCTAACTTAGATGGTGAGACAAACTTAAAAATAAGACAGGTATGAATTTAATTTTTTTAGAATATTGCTAATAATTATTTTAATCTGTTATTACTTATAAAATCATATTTTATGAGATTAATGGCCATTTTAGAAGACTGAAATTTTAATGGTTTGAATAAAAAGCTGCAGGTCATTGACATCACAGAAGTTTTTGTTCTATTAAATAAGCAGAAGGGAACAAATGGTTACTCCTAAGCCATACATTGCACTTTGTCTGACCATTTTTGTTTGGGGAGATAGGTGGAAAGAGTTGTAGTTGAGTATTGCTCTTGTTTTTAAAGAATAGATGAGGGACAAGCCCTCCAGAAAGAAACAGATAGTGCCAGTGTTGTCCTTGTGGGGCAGGTAGGGTATAGCAGTTTTTGAGTGCACTGTCTCTACACAGGGATATACTTGCTGAGTTACATGATGGGTTATGACCCTGTCTTCATCATGATGCTTTAAGGTAACAAGGTGACTCTTTTCACTGTCTGTAGCATCCAGCAGTGCGACAGCGAAGCATAGCAGCCCCATTTTGTTCACATAGGAATACTGTTTTTCTGGTTTTGTGCCAGATAATTGGACAAGTAGATTTATATATTGGAAGGTGATTTTTAACATCATGACAAATTTATTTACAGGGTTTGCCGCTAACATCAGAAATAAAGGACATAGAAAGCTTGATGAGACTTTCAGGCAGAATCGAATGTGAAAGCCCAAACCGACATCTCTATGACTTTGTTGGAAACATCAGACTGGATGGGCATGGGTATGTAAATCTGAAGATCATCTCATTAAATTCAGTCTAACAGTAGACAGCTGTATGTTGTTCAACTATACAAGTTAAAATGTGAATAGTAAAGTCTTTATTCTGCAAAAAGAAGAGGTAAAAATATTTTCCAATGTATTTTTTATTAGAATTTATTCTTAAAAAAACTTGAGGGGTAAAACCATACTTCTAATGTCTAGAGCTTGAGGTTTTTATACTAGTTGACCCTCATAAAGCAGTAGCTATTAATGATAGAAGGGAGTGATAATCAAATTGTACTAGCTCCGGAATATGTACCTCATAACTCACTTCGTAAGTATCTCACTCCTTCCCTGCTAAGTTTCTATTATAGAAACTGAACAGAAGTAGTTTCTTGTCTTTTTTTTTTTTTTTTTTAATTGTTGTTTCCTGTTTCTCTCACTTTGGAGTGGAACTGAGTTTATCACTATACACTTCAAATTTTTTTAATTTGGTAGCTGAAAGACACTTAATACATTTAATACCTTAGTTTACTGCAGGTATGTTTCTGTAAAAATAGGCAGTCTTAGTGCAATTGCAACATAGACACTTGTAAAACTGCTTCAAAAATTCTTAAAATACTTAAGTGCTTACCAAATACTGATATTTGGAGTTTTCTATGGGCTTGAACTGTGATATATTAGGAGTATAAAATTAATTACTAGATCCAGAATTGAGTCCTTCATTCCCAAAGATTTACAGGGTTTCTTTTTCATTTGGTAGGCATTTATTTCTTCATATATAATACTACTCATGTTTGTGTTTTTAGGCTGATAAGTGTAGTACTAACTAATTATTAAATACTTTTTTTTTATATCCCATTCTTTATTTACTGATTTCTTACAGATGCATTCTGGGAGTTTTCAGTTGTAAGAGTATGGATCTATTAAAATTCCACTGTACTTGTCATTAAGAAGAGAAAAACATTTACCTGTAATTCTTCTCTGAAGGTAATAGTTATAATAGATCCACACATTCATCCTTCCTCCCTGGCTAGAGAGAAAAACATATTTTTATATTTAAAAAAGGAAACATTTAATGTGCTGATGGCCATTATGTCTCAAGAATGTATAGGAGCTCGCCATCTGCTGGTGAAGAGATTTGTCGTTTGAGAAATTCAGTTTTAGAATGTTTTGAATACAGTTCTGGTGCAGTAGGATAGTTCCAAAAGTGTGGCTCTAATATAATATTTACCTTCAGTGAAAAAGAATTGCAGGTAAGTAACTCTTTTTGGATGCTGGACTTAATTTCCAACCTGAAAAATCAGGAATGAGTTCTTTCTGCTCATATTAGAGGTAGCACAGATTCATTTAACTTTTATTTGTTTATCCAGATCTTTTAAAACCCTCCTACCCGGTTATGTAAATCCAGCAGTTGTGATTTCCATTTTATCCGCTGCCATATTAACATTTTTGCAAAAGCAAGGGAAGATACTGAAAATGTATCTCCCTCTTCTTTACATTTAGGTGAATCATTGGAGTGCCATAAATGTTTCCAGTTGACCTTTACAGTCTTTTTCTCCTCATTGGAGAGCAACAAAAAAAAAACAAAGGTTC